AAAACAACAATACAGATTGCTGGTTGTTTTCTGGATTTTGTTTTCAACCAAATAGTCTCTACAGAGAAAGAATGATTTCTTAAAGTTTCATCTTTACCACTAGTAGTTAAGAAACAATTTGATTATGTGATATGGAAATACAATTTAAATAAAGTGTATAGTCCACCAGGAGTGCCTGATAGGGGCATAAAATAATCAAATATCAACTGTCCATATAGCTGTGACAAAAAGGCAAGAAGGAATCTTTTATCCCAGCTTTTTCTTTTAATATGCCCTCTTTAAAAGGTAAAGGTTCCCCCTTGCACATATGTGCTAATCGTTCCCGACTCTAGGGAGCAGTGTTCATCTCAGTTTCAAAGCTGAAAAGCCAGCGCTGTCCAAAGATGTCTCCATGGTCATGTGGCCGGCATGACTAAATGCTGAAGACGCATGGAACGCTGTTACCTTTCCACCAAATGTGGTCCCTATTTTTCTACTTGTATTTTTACATGCTTTTGAACTGCTAGGCTGGCATAAGCTGGGACAAGTAATGGGAGCTCACTCCATAATGCACTCCACCAGCATTATGTGGTGCTAGGGATTCAAACTGCCGACCTTTCTGATCGACAAGCTCAGCATCTTAGCCACTGATGCCCTCATGCCCTCTTTAGGATACAATTATATTTCAGCACTGGACTACTTTTATTATGTAAGCGTCCTGCTGTGTGTCTCTGTGTGTGTTTCATCTTCATGTACTACATGGAAAACCCAACACTAGAATTCACTTCTGAATGGCATTTGTTTGTATAAAAAATATGCTGAAGAATGTATGCATTAAAGTGATGTTCAAAATATGTCTCTAGAACAAGGAACATTGTAATAGTTACAGCTCACATACGGGAAGTATTTTTTTAAATGCTCCAAACTGATGGATAATTTTTCTTTCATGACAAGAAACTATATTATAGTAAATTATTAAGTTTATATAACTGTCCTCTATCTCTGTTTAGATACATTTGTAATAAAATTTAACTAAAGAATAAATGTGACACTTTTCCCAGGCTATTTGCAGGTACTGAGTTGTCATTTAACAAAGTTAACCATCATAGAATGATAAAGTCAAGGCCGATGAAATTACACAGTAGTGCTAACATGGTACTTATCAGCAGCAATAAATATTTTCTGTCATAATTAAATATTAAGCTATTGGTTAAATAACTCATACATTAAGCAATTGATCAACAACAATAACAAAAAGCTGCCAGTTAGAATAAAACCTCCTTTATGTTGCTTCACACAAAACTCCAAATTAGTAACCAAAACTGTGGAAAAAGCTATGAGTGCGCAAGCAGAATATTCTAGAATTCTCTGGAACATTTTGTTCCCCTTTTGGATCACATAGATCCAGATGTGGCTTCACCATAGTTAGTTAATTATTGCATATTGCATTTACTAGGCAATATCTATCAAGTCTATCAACAGATATCAGAAAATGACATCATCCTTTCTTACAGTGCTATTTATGACAGCAGTTAAACCAACTCAAAAGCTGAAATGGCAACTTTAAAGAACAAATTTTGATCATGTTCTCCACCCCCCCCCCAAATACCTCTCCCTCTGATTCTTCTTTAGACCATAATGTAAGCACCCAGACTGACATGAAGGAAGAAGGCCATTAACTAAGGCTTTGTACACTTCAGAAATATTTCTGGATACATACTTCATAACTTGCATGAATGTAACACTTCTCTAATGTATATTAAAGGAGCTTTTCTATTTGCTGGTCCTGCATGACCATCAACAAATATTCTGTTGCTTTTCCCAAGGGTGCTTTTCAAAAGGCAACTGAGCTTTTTGGATTTTTTCCCCTTCTTCAGGATGAGAAGGAAAATGTTTTGAAAGAAAAACAAGAAAATCCAGTTGGTTTTGAAAAGCACCTTTGGGAACAACCATGACCAGGATGATTGAGAACCTCCATACACATTTTGTTGCTTGTAAGAAACTGATTAAAGTTGCTGGGACTTTTAAAGCAACCATTTTCTTATACTTGTACAAAGGTCTGAAACAATATGAGCTGCTTCAATGAATATCACAGAGCTGCTTCAATGAATATGCTCGCGAGACTCATTTTTGAAGCAAGTACCTGCCATTTATCTAGCTCTAACTTACTATAGTGGTAAAAAAACATATACATGACAATCTGTATTAGGCATTCAAAGGGTAAATATATATTTCAATTTGGTACAACTACAGAGAAAAATTTAAATGCAGAGGAAGATGAACAAGCTTAGTCTTTTCTCCCTAGTATTCAATATTTAGAGATTTAAGTGATCACACCATTCTAGCCACCCCCACTACCTGTAATAAGACCGACAGAGCAAAATTATATTTTCTAAACTAGAATAAAATTAGTTCTTTCCCTATTCTTATTTTCCCTTCACATGCTATATAAGACTAGTTATAAAATGGGAAAGAAATGCAACTTTGCAGGCCATCACCTAGGCTACTCAAATCATTTCATTCCAGTAAAGAAATGTTCCATATTGGTAAATACTTATAACACAGAAATTATCTCAAAGCATTTTATTACAGGTAGTCCACAACTTACAACAGTTCCCTTAGCGACCATTTTAAAGTTACAATGGCACTGGAAAAAGTGACATGATCATTTTTCACACTTATGACCGCTGCAGCATCTCCAGTTATGTAATCAAAATTTGGATGCTTGGCAAAAGGTTCATATTTATGACTGTTGCAATATCCTGGGCTCAAGTGATTACATTTTGAGACCTTCTGATAAGCAAAGTCAGTAGGGAAGCCTCTTAACAACCATGTTATTAGCGTAATAACTGCAATGATTCACTTAACAACTATGGCAAGAAGGATCTTAAAATGGGGTAAAACCCATTTAACAAATGTTTCACTTGTTTGGGCTCAATTGTGGTTGTAAGTTGAGGATTACTTGTAGTTGAAAATTAATGTGTAAGATTAATATAGTAAAGAATCTGAATTTTTTATTCTTCCCAGTTTAGCTGCTGCAACTGTTTCAACTCTTTAAATTAGGAGAAAAAATAAAGCTGTAGTTTCACACAGGGACAAATCACAAATGCGCTCCCAGGGGTTTACAATCTATAGCTCTTATGAACAATAGTTTTTAAAAAGAAGAAAGGGAATCTCTCTCAAGATATCTATGGAAATAGCAATCGTAACACACTTCATTACTAGTTCTAAATAACTCCCTTTTGCAGAAATATGATGTCAATTAAATACAGCATTAAAATGATTTATTCAGCAACCTGATGTAACCACAGATGTTTATTGAGACTTATTTCTGCAATAACAATTCTCTTTAAAAAATCAATTGCTGTATTCCTCTCTATGTCCATGAAACCTGCTATAAATCTCCAAGAATATATTTGTTAGCGCAGACAAATGATATGAGGAGGCTAAATGGAAGACATCTGATCTTCCATTCCTCTAATAGATAAGACATACTTGGAATAATAGAAATTGACAGGATTAGGACAGGGAAACCCATCAATCACCCATCTAGGGATGGGATTACCTCTTCCCTTTAGGAAGGACAAGATTACAAACATTTTCATTATAAAGAGTATTAAGTAACACTTCTGTGAGCAGCTGATACTCCCTGGAGTTTCCCAAGACTTTTTATAGCTGTTGCAGTGTTGGTTACTTCTTGTTTCTTCCTGGGGGGGAAAGATACAGGAGGGGACAATGATGCACCTTGATCATACAGGCCGTGAATTCAGTGCCATGTGTGGTCCATCCAGTTGTATTGCTTCTGCTGTGAAGCACCCAATTTAGAACATAGAGAACATAAAATAATAAGTTTGAAGGGTTAATGGCTTTTGGCAGCACGCCCAGGCTTTCAATTAGCAGCTACTCTTAGTTTCCCTCTCAGCTCCTGCGTTTGCTTAGGGGTTGACTTTTTAAAAAAAGGGGAATGGCTATTTATTTTTCTGCGTTGTTTAGACCAGTGGTCTCCAACCTTGGCAACTTTAAGACTTGTGGACTTTAACTCCCAGAGTTCCTCAGCCAGCAAAGCAAAGCTGGCTGAGGAACTCTGGGAGTTGAAGTCCACAGGTCTTAAAGTTGCCAAGGTTGGAGACCACTGGTTTAGACAATATGGCACTGTCCTTTTAGGCTGTACTTCCCTGTCTTTTTGAAAGCCTCTAGTGATGGCGCACCCACAACTTCTGAAGGCAAACTATTCCATTGGTTGATTGGTCTCACCCTTAGGAAATTTCTCCTTAGTTCTAGATTGCTTCTCAATTGGTTATTTTCCATCCATTGTTTCTTGTTGTGCCTTTTGGTGCTTTGGAAAATAGATTTGACTCCTCATTTTTGTAGGAGCCCCTCAAATTTCCTGACAGAACAATTAATCAGTGGAACAACATGTATCCAGAAGTTATAAATGCTCCAGCACTAAAAGTTTTTAAGAAGAGACTGGACAATTGTTGTCTGAAGTGATGTAGGGTTTCCTACCTACACAGGGGTTTGGACTAAAATACCTCCAAGGTCCTTTCCAATTCTGTTATACTATTCTATTCTAAATATTGGAACAGTGCTATTTTATTGTGAGTTGGGCAACAGAAACATTTCCTAAGGGTGAGACCAATCAAGTTGGCTACGTCCACCCAGTCACATGACCCATTTCCCACAGAAAACACAGGGAGCCACAAAACCTGGGTCATGTGACTGGGTGGGAGTGACACTAAGTTGGTAGTAAAAAAATTTGAACCGGTAGTAAAAAAAAATAAATGAATCCCACCACTGTATATTACATACAAATACATTACAAATAAACAGTCAAACATTTGTCAAATGAACTTGAGAGTGAGTGTTAAAAAACAAAAGGTCTAACAAAGATAACAGTAAATACCCAGTAAAAAGATTAATCAATGTAATACTTTATTAGTTAATTAGCTGAATTATTCAGTAATCATTTTTAAATGTATTTTCAATATGTATGTGTGTGTATATATATATATAGTGCTTACTTGCATGCAGCCTTAGGATTTGCATTTCTTGAAAGCAGTAGTTCTACACTCTTTAAAATCTGTTCTTCTGAACCAGATGCAGTACATGCAGCCATCAATACTGAATAATCATCTAAACAGCAATTGTTAAGAAAACACCATCAAATCTATAGAATAAACCAGGCAAAACAAATACAGGTAGTCCTACAGCAGTTCATTTAGTGATTGTTTAAAGTTACAACAGCACTGAAAAAGCGACTTATGCCTGTTTTTCACATTTACGATTGTTGCAGCATCCAAATGCTCACATGATCAAAATTCAGAAGCTGGGCAACTGGTTCCTATTTGTCCTAGGGTTATGCTATCAGTTTTGAGACTTTCTGACAAGTAAAATTCATATTCACTTAACAATCATATTACTAACTTAACAAATGCAATGATTCACATAATAACTGTGGCAAGAAAAGTCAGGCAAACTTAGCAAATGTGTCACTTAGTAACATAACTTTTGGGCTCAATTATGATTGTAAATCGAGGACTACCTGTACAAAAATTACAAATATGGCACTGAATTATAAAATGAATTTGTCAATGTTCATCTCATACCAAGATGTCCAAAAACTTAAAAACAGACCAGTCGAATCAGGGCAAAGACACATCTTAGAATTTTATTTCTCATGTTAGTCAATAAGATCTTACTGGGGTGCACCCAAACAGAAGGTAGAGATAGACCAAGCTCTTGGCTTTGTTCTCCTTTAATTGGTATGTGGAAGTTTGCTACCTCTACTCTGGAGATGGCAACATGTAGTCCTCAACTTACAATTGGTCATTCAACAATTGTGAAGTTACAAGGGACTCAGTTACTCACAACCTGTCCTTGAAGTTATGACTATTACACTATCCCTGTAGTCATGTGATCATATTTCAGGAGCTTAGGAACCTGTTCACACTTATAACCAGTTGCCAAGCACCTCACAATAACTTGATTGCCATTTGCAATGTTCTCTGCTGACTCGCCCAGAAAGTCAATAGGGAAGCCAGCAGGGAAGGTTGCAACCTGCTACTTACCTGTTGAAAGATTTCCCTGGTCCTACATGCACTGGGGAATGGATCTTGTGGTGAGTTGGAGAAAGAAGCTGGGATCGTGAAGATCCAAACTTCATTTCTCCAGCTGAGCACTTGTGTTCCATTCTCAGCACAGAGGGGATGGATCCCAAAGATCTGAGCTTTGTTTCTCCAGCTATCAAGCATGAAAGCTCAGGACTACACACGAAGTTACAATTAAACTGATTTATTACTAATCATGCCTATGCACAAGAATCTACTCAATTACAAGTTAGCATTATCCTGACATTGGATAAGGGTCAACAGAAGTCACAAGGGGTTAGACTTAGTCCCTTTGTGGCTATGTAGAGACTCTGGGATGATTGGTATTTTGACTCTTCCCCAGGTTCTACCATTCCTTCTCCTACACCAGTTAGTGCAGGAGTTATCTTCCATGCACGGAAAGGAGCTTGCCATTCCTCTTTCAGGAGGCAGCTTTTTCAATCTATCTGCTTAACAACCACAATTGGAAGAACCAGACTGCAATCCTTAAATGAAGAAGTCATGCAGACAAGTCACATAATGACTGCAATGACTTATGCTCACAAAACAATTGTCATGACTTATGACCAACATTTCAGGTTCAGCTTGTGATCATAAGTTAAGGACTATTTGTGTTGGGTTTCCAGTTAGCTATAGCTTCCAGGGAATGAAGCTGCTGTCTTTTTACTCTATGTAAGGCATAATAGTCACTTAAAACTTTTCTACAACAGACAAAATTTGTTTGATTTGGGGAATTTCAGAATAACTGTAGGATACAGGCATGGTTATAACATCCATTTTGTTCTTTTACTTCCCAAAACAAATGCTAAAAAATAAAAATGTAGGTCCCTCATTTTATGGCTGAATCATCTAAAAGTAGGTTATAGATTGCTGACTCCAGATGTATTGCTCTTACCAATATAAAGATGCACAATATTTAAGGAACGAAGAAACTTAGCAATAGATCTGAAATTCTATATGACACTCCAAACAAAGTAAAAGTAAAAAGGTACAACCCAAAAGCAAATTAAATAACTGCAGGATAATGAAGAAAATGGCATAAATGTGGCACGGCATTTTTGGAAGTACTGACAGAATTTTTAAAAAATACTTTACACATGGTGTGTTTAGTTTGTACTGGCAGAGTCACTGTTTCTTTAAATAAACATTTACTTTTATTATTATACAGAACACGTAGGGTTACATCCTTGAAATGGTCCATTTATAAAAACTCACCCTTCTCAAAGCTTGCATTTGCACCTCTGCTTAGAAGGAGATACATAAGTTCCACATTCGCAACACTAGCAGCATACATGAGGGGAGTCCATCCAAACTTAAGGCTAGATTCTACATTTATGCCTGTAATATTTATATATGCATTTAATAAAACACAAATCTACAATATATATTCTTTTATAGAAGTTTATTTAAACACAACCACTATTCAGTCTCCCCAATGATGCTCTCAAATGATGCAATCTTTTACCAAAAAACCTCGTTTCTCATTTCTATAATATATGTCCACCCTAGACCAGCCTTTTCCTTTAATATCTATAGGTTCCCACAAAAACAATCCCCCACTCCATAGCATGTAAATACAACATGCCACAAACAAGCATGGGTCAGATTGTCTTGTGACATACTGATATAGTTTGTACTAATATTTCCCAATTTGGGTAGCTTATATCTGCATAATGCTGGCTACATTTAGCCAGTTCTAAATATTTTTACGCCAAGATTTTATTTTATTCACTCTGTCTGTCTTCTACCTATTTTATTTGCCACCCATCTCATGGTTCAGGCAACTATGATTTACACTGGTGATTGATAATTAAATAATAAATAACCAATTATTCTATTCTTCACTCACCAATCTGCTACAAATCATAGAAACCAAATGAGTAGAGCAATACTTTTTTATTTCTGTAGTATCTGCAAAATCTACAAAGTTTATATTGCTATATAACTAAGTATAATGCCCTTTATAGTTTTATTTTTTACAAAGTAAAAAAAGATGCCATTATAATATTTATTTATACAATTAAGCCAAAACCTACATTGTTTCATACAAATTATGTTGCTAACTGTAATTTACCAGTATGTACATTCATAGCACACTATCACAAGTATTCACTTTTATTATACACATAAAAAGACATTCAATTATCCATATAAAAAGTCTGTCAAAACAGGAATATTGAAGTATGAACCAATTTAATTCTTTAATATTTTTAAGGTGGGTAATTTTAGCCTAATGTCTCATAGCTCAATATTTCTGATTGCCAGAATATTTAGCTCATTTCCATTATGAAGTGTTCAGGATTTCAGTTTCTTACCATCAAAGGGAATAAAAGTTAATTCTATTACTTCTTTTTGGAGTGCATTTATTATTCTTTTTTTAATTATTAACCTATCTGAAATATCACTTCATAGTCACCAAGGGATAAATTGACTCTTCTGGTCCTAACCTATTTGCTCTTACCAGAAGACAGCTGTTTCTCAATGAGAGACCTTCACAAATACAAAAATCAAATTTGATAAAAAAGAATGTGGTAAGACCTTATACAGTATTTAACTAAATACTCTCTAATATTATTCTGTGCCCAGACAAGGAGTACAGATATTCATTAAAGGCAGAACTTTCAAAAAGTGTTAAATTTAGCTGATATTCATTTGTCATACCTGTATTTAAAAGTTCCTCAATGACAGACAAATTTCCAGCAGTTAATGCTTTTTTGAAAACTTCATTTTTATCCTGGCTGTGCGAGATTTCATCTAAACACTAGATAAAGAAGAGGTTTATGCTGCAATACATAAATTTACTAGTTCAATATTAATAGAAGCACTATATGAACTGCTTTATGAGTTACAACACAAGCAAACATTTTAAAAAATGGATTCAAGAATATTTGATTCTTCTAAGACCACTTTTTAACCACGTATCTACGTACATCTGTATTTTTGTGTGTGGTAAAAAAGTGAGTGCACCACAGCGGTTAGAATGCAGTACTTCTGCTGACTGATCGAATCTCACCAGGCTCAAGGTTGGCTCAGCCTTCCATCCTTTCGAGGTGGGTAAAATGAGGACCCAGATTGTTGGGGGCAATATGCTGACTCTGTAAACTGCCTAGAGACAGCTATAAAGTACTGTGAAGCAGTATAAGTCTAAGTGCTATTGCTATTACTTGTATACATTCAGAAAAGAGATTAAGGCAAAATATTTGTTTAGCTAATCAAAATGTACTGGCAAGTATTTGTAAAGAGAGAATAGGGATGAGATTCAAATGCCATTAGAATTCTCTCCCTACCATTTTTTTTGGGACACAACCTTTGTCAATGTTTACTTCTGGTAAATTTCTAGATAAGTCCCTGCAGTTTTCTTGCCAAGATTTCTTGAGTGCCACTGCCATTCCTACAAATGAAAGTATTTGGCCCAAGGCCACCCAGTCGACTGCTCCTACTGGCTACAACTCAGTTTCCCAGTTTCTAGCCTGCTGTTTAACCACTGCACCTAACTGGCTCTTAATTAAAATGTCCTACTAAGCCTGGTTTATCATTGGTTTAAGCCTGGTTTATCTTTGGTTTCAACCAATAGCCACTGCAATTGGAATCATTCCTGTTGTCATAACTGTTCTCTACAATGTTTCATTAGTATTGTATGTGGAATTACTGATATCCTCTAAAAGGTTAGAGTCCTGCTTATTAACAAAAGCACTACTGTCCAGCATGTGTTTTATTTATAAAAAATGCTTAAGACAGCAGAGTCGCCCATGTCATAAGATTTTTAAAAAAATCTGATTTGAGAAAATCAACTTAATGGTTGGACTTAATAGTGTAATTTAGGTTTTTCAGTCTGAAGGTTTGAATTGATACAACGCATTGGTCATTACTGTAACCAGCATTATCAACATATATACTTATACATGTGTATTGTACAAATTCAGCAAATTTGAGTGTAAATGACTGATCATCATTTACCTAGTACAATCTACTGGATTCCAAAAACATTTATCATAATTGTGACATGTGGATGCCAAACGTGCTCATCAGGTTTAATTCACAATTAGCATGCACCTGTCAAATGCCAACTAAGGAAAAAAAGTTAATTCTATTATTTCTTTTTGGAGCGCATTTATTATTCTTTTTTTATTATTAACCTATCTGAAATCTCATTTCATAGTCACCAAGGGATAAATTGACTCTTCTGGTCCTAACCTATTTGCTCTTGCCAGAAGACAGCTGTTTCTCAATGAGAGACCTTCACAAACACAAAAATCAAAATCAGCTGCTATAAATATTTTATAATGGAGAAATATTTAAATTAGGAAATGGGGAACTTCTAAACCCATGAAGATCACTGGATGGTCTTGGGACTAATGTACATTTACTCATTTTTTCCGTTCTAACTTCACCTTTTTACAAAATTTATTACCACAACAAAGTGTTTGGGAAGGAAGCGAGGAAGGTTGCCTGGTTTAAGCACGTTCCAATTTGCACCTGCTCGGCCGCCGTCGCCTCTCACCTGGGCCTGGGACATGAACCCGATACCCCAGCCGTCGTCGTCGCTCTCGCTGCTCTCCTCTCCCCCGGGGACAACGCGGAAATTCGTGCCGTTAGCCATCCGCCCTCACCTCAATTAATTTCTCTTTAAAGCCTCTTCCCACGGTCCGTTCTCCCTCCCAAACACACACCCTCGCGCACAGCCGCTTTCTAGGGAAATGCCCGTCCCCTCCCTAACGCTTTCGCCAGCCCAAGCGCATGCGCGGGGGGAAACCCCGCGGAGGCGGGAGAAAGGGCACCGCGTGAAGGAGGCCTCTGCGGTCACGTGTCCGCATCAAAAGAAAAAAAGCCCCGGGGAAAACTTTTTGGAATCCTCCTGATTCCATGACTTGGGCCGCATTCGTTCTAATAGATGAGGCCATAGCCTCATAAACTTTGAAAGAGCTGCTTTCACCCTTAAGTCAGGGGTCCCCCACAAACTTGGCAACTTTAAGACTTGTGGACTTCAACTCCCAGAATTCTCCAGCCAGCATAGCTAGCTGGAGAATTCTGGGAGTTGAAGTCCACAAAGTCTTAAAGTTGCCAAGTTTGAAGACTGTCTGGAGAATTCTGGGAGTTGAAGTCCACAATTCTTAAAGTTGCCAAGTTTGAAGACTGGCTGGAGAATTCTGGGAGTTGAAGTCCACAAGTCTTAAAGTTGCCAAGTTTGAAGACCACTGCCCTAAGTAAGGCATACCTAATAATCTGCTTAAAGGCGTCCGGTGAAGGGAAAGGTAGTAGTACCCTCATTTGGGGGTACTTGGCTCCGCTGTTGAACTGGCATTACCTCCAGCGAAGTTTTAGAATGTGTTTCGATGCAGTAACTGGGGAGAAAACCGTCTTTACTTCACTGAGACTTCTGACATTGAGTGTATAGGATTGCTATGAAAGTTTCTTTTCCCGACTTAAAAGTGTCGATGTAGTGATTTTTTTTAAAAAATTGAAAGCAAAATGAAAGTTCTAAATGTACATACTGCTTGGTAGTGCAACTCCAGTGGATCTCGAACGCGTGCAAAATTAAGAGAAAACACAAAAACAATGGACGGCCCAGACTGGAATAATCTCATAGCAAAACCAACAAAGCAAAACGTGCTGTTGAACATCAACTCCAGGCCTGGGACCAAGGTCAGATTTTACGTCTTTGAAAGAGGTGTACTCACTTTGGAATTTCATGGGACAGTATTTGCAATAATCCACAATCTTCAGCATGTTTCTTCAGGTGTAACTCAAATGTGTTGTATCCAGTTAGCTCACTCGGTGGTAAATGTGACTCATCAATGATTAATGTTTTCCATTAGATTATGGACAGCATGTTTCAATCCAGAAAATTGAATATTTTACTACAGAAGGATAAGAAAATCCCATTTTTTATTTTCCTTCCAATTTATTAAACAGAAAATGTTTATTGTATGAATTTTTTTATCCCACCTTTGTTATTTTTATATAACTATGAAGGTGGCTGAACATATACAATGCAGTATTCTTTCCTATTTTCTCCACATTAATCCCAGAATTCATTCCAACTGGGAGATTTGCAGTTGTTGAATTTTTAAATTTTTAAAATAAGTTGCAGAATTAAAATTTCATGTTAATATATTTTTGGACAAAAAATCATGAGTGATATAAATGGACTTAAAAAAGAAGCAATATAAGAGCATTGACAGTTTGAAAATACTTTAAGCTATCAGGAATATTTGATTGCAACACTGGATGAGTTTCCTTCAATCCTTCGCTAGAGATGTTTTAAACACAAGTTTAAAACCTTCTTTTGATTAACTGCAAAACAGTTATTAAAAATCTGATTTTAGAAAGTTAAAAATTATCTAAGAGTCCAGATAAATTTGAAATAAGATTTTGGAATTAATTATAATTATAAGATTTTTTTTCTGCAGAAAAATGTGTTTGTTTTGAATTCTTTTTTTTTAAATGAGATAAGTTTTAAAATAAAATTTAAACCTATTTTGCACCTGCAGATTTCAAAGAGATTAACATGGACTTAATGAAATAAAATCCCATTTATATAGGATTCCTTAAACAAATGTTTATTTTTTTATCTGATAGTGACTGAGGTGTCAGGAAGGGCTACATTGTCTAAATATGATGTATCACTTGAACAATATATATTACTTGGGGGAAAAAATCCAGCACAAGTATTTCAATGTACTATTGCATCATTAGTGCTTACTGATGCATACTTCACTGAAATGGGATTTATAAGTTACTTTGACTGAATCTTGGAACTGGCCGTTGTATTCTAACTGGCATTCTGCAGAAGACCTGGCAGATGTCCCATATATTCATTGCAAAAGTTTAATGTCTCCATTGTCTGCCAATGGTTCTTATCAATAAAATGTTATAAATTTTTTAATAATCTTTTAGTTCAGAGGAGGGAGGAACATTTACATACTTGTGATTTAGGTAAATCTCAGAGTAAACAATTAGTATGCCATAAGATGTGAGATGAGACACGAAACAGAAGCATTTGTTACTAAAACTTTAAATAAAATGTAATTTATTCTAGGGTTTGGATATTTGCGCATGTGTGAGTTTGTGAATGGCCGGGAGCTTCTTTGCTCCGGTGGGTAGGTGAAAAGAACGCCGGAAAACATCATGGTCTCTATATGCGAGCCCCGTAAGAAAGGGACCGAACGGTAGAGTATGACCTGAGGGACTTGGCGAGACGATCAACTGGGGCGGTTGCTTCCTTTGGCTGGTCTCCAGCCTGTGTGGTTGCGTTGGTGGTTTCTCTCGTTTTGGTGGCAAAGATGGCGGTGCCTGGCAGCTTTTAATACACCAGTGCCTTTGGCCTTACTTCTGGACTTGGAAACTCGGGAGAAACTTGGGAGAACCTCTGGGACTGCACTAACACTATCCTGCCAATGAGGGGATGGCCGGTCCAGATGGCGCCAAATGGGATCAGGTGGCTGCCCTTGCTGCCACCGCCACGGCCCTCCCAGGTCCCCCCTCCCTTTTCTTAATCATATTTTGGCTTGCGGCAGTCCGGGCGGCCTTTGCCTCTGTTCTTTGCGATTGGGAGAGCCCTTGGAGCTTTTGGAGCCTTCGGAGCTGTATCGGCTCGTCGTCTGTCTCCACAGGTGGGGTGGCTGTTTTGTGCGGCGTTGGACGGAGATGGACAGCTGATTTTGTTTACCATTGTTACGACCCCTTCGGGCACCCCCCCCCCACTCCATTCGATCGGACTTTCTCCACGTTGCGGCCTCTTCTTTGCCCTGCTGTGACCAGGGGGGCATTTGCCCAGGTTCGCCTGGTGCGCCAGTTGCGACCCTACCTGAACCGGGAGGCTCTCACAACAGTCACTGGCGCCCTCGTGACCTCTAGGCTGGAATACTGCAATGTGCTCTACATGGGGCTGCCCTTGAAGAGCATCCAACGGCTTCAGCTAGTCCAGAATGCGGCCGCGCGAGTGATTGTGGGTGGACCTCGGTTC